CCATATCATAAGGACACACGGTTCGTATGCAAAGGCCTTGGGGGGGCATGGTAACGTCTTCCGAACGATGCGTATCCAGCGAAAGTCGCGAAGCATGGGCCGAGGAGGCAGACATGCAAGGGTGCCCGTGGAAAGTTTGCCCATCATTAACATGCGGGTTGATTGCAGCCGATCTGAAAGCCGTGCCCCCTTTCTCAGGAGGAGGAAGAAAGAGGAGGAAGAAGAGGAGGAGGAGGAAGGAAGAGAAGGAGGAGGAACAAGATGATTCTGGGGGCCCCAAGCCGCGTGGTGACGGACCGCGCGGTGAGCTCGGTATCCCCGACGACCTCACCGCGCGGTCCGTCACCGCGCAGTTCTCTTTTGGACCCTCGGGAACCCCGGCCGAAGGGGGGAGGGGGAGAAGAAGGAGGAGAAGCGAAGGGGGGGGGGAAGCGCATGGCAAAGGGAACGCAACGGCGAGGAGGGGGCAGGCGGCAGAGGCGGGGACGGCGCAGCGGCGGCGGGAGCGATGGGATGCAATCGAAGGGAGACGGCGGGAACGAAAAGGGCCAAAGGGAAGTGCCAGGAGGGTGGAAGGACAAGGAGGGAAGAGTAGGGAGGAGGAAAGGACGGCAGCCCGGGAAAGCAAACCCGTATAATTTCGCACAAGGGACCAACCCCGCAATGCGCTCGACGAGGGGTGGAGGAAGGAAGAGGGAGAGGGGCGCGCGAACCAACAGGGAGGGCGGGGCGCGATGCGGCGGGGCGAAGCGGAGCCGCGTCGCACGACGCGACGGGACCCTCTCCACGGAGCGACGCGCACAAACCCCCAATCAACGCGAGGCGTTTTCGTCGTCAATTGCGGTTGGCGCACCCCGAAACGACGCACTGGCGAATAATTTTGCGCCGAGTGAGAAATACAGCGCGTTAGTGAACCATCAAACCGTAGTGCGCCACAAATACCAAGCTGGCTGCTGTGGCACCAGCGTCAGAAACCAATACGTCGCCAAACAACTCCCGAAGTAGCGCCATGTGTCGTCCACGCACTCTGGGAGACCGGGATTAGGGACACAAGCGAAAACAAGGGCTGGCGCAAGGGCAACGCAATGAACGAAACTTCGGGGGGGTCATGTTGATGGGCCTTCACAAGTGAACCAATGCAGATTTACTGTCGACTTGTCGGGGTGGGCATTCTCTCCATTTCCGAAGATCGGCCATGGCCCCCGTCTGCAAAACCGCACACTGCCGGGCAGGCTGGGGCCATCAGGCCCCTGTCAGCGATGAATGGGCGGTTGGGGGTCGAAGCGTCCCCTCCCCGTAAGCTTAGGTCGGGCATGTCCTCCTAAAGTCCTCCAGCTGGAATTTCGATCAAACAATTTTTTAAAAAGTAGTCCAAAAATAACCAAACTAGAACGAGGCCGGATTTTCTAAGAAAATAATACACAAACACACACACATATAAAATCCAGCCGGATTTTCAAAGAAACATAACAAACGTCCCCAGCCTATTTTCTATTCTTGAACATTCCTCCTGTAGAAAGACATGCCCGACTCAACCCTCAGCCTATCTGCCCCTAATAACTGTTGACCCTTGGCTTTCTGGCCATCTCTCGGCTTTCCGGCAGCCTTTCGGGACGATCTGGACCCCCCTGGAACGATTTCGGCAAGGCGCAGCTGCTAGAGAGCATCCTGAGGCTGACGAGCCGCTTAGAATCGACGAGCACGTCCGAAAACATCGAACTCCGAGCCACCCCTAGACAAAGCTACCCCCGACCACCTTGCAACACCCGAGTGCTCCAGTCTGGGTCTGCGTTTGGAAGGCCTCGGACCGCACCAGCGCAGAACGTATCCATGCGACCGCGTCACAACGGGATCGCGCCCCAAAAGAACTGCATACAAAACGTTCAAAAGTCCACGCGGATGTCTTGGATCGGCTCCGACCTGAGAAACCCGTGCGACACTCCGAATGATTGTTCATGACAACTTTGTTCGAAGACCGCGAGAGCGTGGAGAAGGAGGTCGAGGAGGAGGAGGAAGAGGAGGAGGGAGGGAGGGAGGGAGGGAGGAAGGGGAGGAGAAGGGTAGGAGGAGGAGGAGGAGTAGGAGGAGGAGGAGGAGGAGGAGGAGGAGGAGGAGAGGGAGGCGGAGGTGAGATGAGGATGAGGATGAAGGATGAGGATGAGGAATGATGATGATGAGGAGGAGGAGGAGGGGGAGGAGAGGAGGAGGAGGCGGAGGAGAGGAGGAGAGGAGGAGGGGGAGGAGAGGAGGAGCGAGGAGGAGGGTAGCGCGAAAGAGGGAGAAGGAGGAGGAGGAGGAGAGAAGAAGAGAGGCGGAGGAGGAGGAGGGGCGGACGAGGGGATGATGATGATGATGATGTGATGATGATGATGTGATGATGATGATGGATATGAGGAGGGAGGAGGAGGGGGAGGAGGAGGAGAGGGAAGGAGGAGGAGGTGGGAGGGGAGGGAGGGGAGGAGGAGGGGGATGAAAGAGGAGGACGGGGGAGGACGAGGAAAAAGAGGAGGAATCGAGGAGGAGGAAGAGGAGAGAAGAAGATGAAAGGAGGACGAGAAGGAGGCGGAGGGATGAGGAGGAGTGGGAGGCGGAGGCGGAGGAGGAGGAAGGAGGAGGAGGAGGGAAGCGGGAGGAGAAGAAGGAGGGAGAAGGAGGCGAGGAGAGAAGGAGGAGGAAAGGAGCAGGAGGAGGAGGCGGAGGAGAAGGAAGGAGGAGGAGGAGGGAGGAGGAGGAGGAGGAGGAGGAGAGGAGGAGGACGAGGCGGAGGGAGGAGGAGGAGGAGGACGAGAAGGAGAAGGAGAAGAAAATGAAGGGGAGGAGAATGAGGAGGAGGAGGAGGACGAGGAGGAGAAGGAGAAGGAGAAGAGGAGGGAGGAGGAGGGAGAAGGAGGGAGGACGAGGACGAGAAGAAGCAGCAGGCAGGAGGAGGAGGAGGAGGAGGAGGAGGAGGAGGGAGGAGGCGAAGTTGGTGTGCTCCCCATGTGAACGCCGAACGTGCAAGCCGCGGGAGGAGGAGAACGAGGAGGAGGAGAAGGAGGAGGAGGAGGAGGAGGAGGAGGAGACGGAGGAGGAGGAGGAGGAGACGGAGGAGGAGGAGGAGGAGCAGGAGGAGGAGCAGGAGGAAGGAGGAAGGAGGAAGGAGGAGGAGGAGGCGGAGGAGGAGGAGGACGAGCAGCAGGAGGAAGAGGATGAACAACAGGAGGAGGATGGAAGGCCCCAGCCCCAGGCCTGGGGGTGCTGCACGGCCGTGGCCATCGCAGCGCGCCCGGCTCGGGCCGTCGGTGCGGCTGCGGGCAAGAGAAGCCGCGGCGCGCCGCCGAATGACGACGACGACGACGATGAACGTCGTCGTCGTCGTCGTCGTCGTCCTCGTCGTCGTCGTCGTCGACGTCGTCGTCGTCGTCATCGTCGTGGTCGTCGTCCCCGTCGTCCTCGTCACCGTCATTGTCGTCCTCGTAGTCCTCGCCGTCGTCGTCGTCGTCAGGGGGCGCGGGGGGAGGAGACGGGGGGGGGAGGACCCTGAGATCTGGGTGTTGTCGGCATATGGGGTGCAGTCTTTCATATCCTCCTCCTCCTTCCTTCCTCCCCCTATCAGTCGTCGGCGTCGTCGTCGTCGTTATCCTTCTGCTCTGTCTGCCTTTTTCTATCATGTCATGTTGTCCACCGTGCACCGAGAGTTCCGATTACACGTCGGTCAGAAGAAGTAGTAGGTAAAAATACAAAATAGGCAGGCGGATAGAGTAGACCGATGTCAGGCCCTCCCTGAGATACCCAAACACAACAAAAGCATAACGAGTCTTTAAGTAAGGAAGCGCTTGAAGTAGAGTAGATTGGGATCTGGGCATCCAGAAACACCTACCTTCAACGACGGGCGTGTAACTAGAAGGACGAGGAGGAGGAAGAGGAGGAGGAGGAAGGGAGGGAGGGAGGGAGGGAGGGAGGGAGGGAGGAGGAGGAGGGAGAGGAGGAGGAGGAGGGGGAGGAGGAGGGGGAGGAGGAGGGGGAGGAGGAGGAGGAGGAGGAGGAGGAGGAGGAGGAGGAGGAGGAGGAGGAGGAGGGGGGGAAGCCACCGACCTCAAGTCAGTGCCCTCTCGCATTTGCCCCGCTCCCGAAGCTCCCTGGGCGTGCTGGCGACCACTGCCGGCCTCCACAGGCCAGAGAGGAGCCCAGAGGGTGGCTTCCGAGATGCGCACAAGTAGGGGGCAAGCAAACCTACCTCGCTTTTGACAACCCTCGCTTCCAAGAGATACCAAGCGATGCCAAACTACGGCCTGTACTGATCAGGCCGCTTGACGAGGAGGCGCGTGGTATGACTTGGTTTTCCCTGGAAGCGAAAGCGGGGTAGCTAATTCACCCCCTGAACAAAGGCCCACCATGATCGCCTCAAGAGGACCAACAACCAACGACGAGGCCAGGACGAAGATGAAATCGGGTAGGGATAAATCGAGAATCTCTGAGATCCAGCGGCTCTGGGGGATGTCTCGGGCGCAGCGGCCTTCTCAGAGCAGGGCGTTCCGGAACGCCCTGGAACGGATTCATCCTCGTCCCAGCCACGTCCAACAAGGACCCCAGGAAGACTTCAAGAAAGGTCCTGGAAAATCCAAGAGGCACTTGAAAACGCCCCACGGCCCCGCCGGACCCCTCGCCGATGCCACTCCCGCCCGCGCGCACCACCCTGCGGCGCCGTCGGCGCTGCATTTCGTCGTCGCAGCCGCTTCGTCGTCGATGCCGCCAGCGCGCCGTCGCAGCCGCCGCCGCCGCGGCGCCGTCGCCGCTGCCGCCGCGTCGTCGCCGATGGCGCGGCGCGTCGTCGATGCCGCCGCGTCGTCGTCGATGCCGCCGCGCGTCGTCGCCCGCCGACGGCGCTGCGCGGCGCCGCGGCGTCGTCGCCGCCGCGCGCGTCGTCGCCGGTGGTGCTGCGTGCCGCCGCCGCCGCCGTCTGAGGCGCCAGCGCCGCCGCGCGGCTGCGGCGGGCGGCTCGCGCGCGGCGGGGGCCGCGCGCCCGCGAGGGGGCGGAGTCGCGGACGGCCTCTCGCGCGGGGGGGGTGCGCCGGCTGGAGCAAAAGGAACGCGGCACTATCACCAGTGTCGGCGCCGAGGAGCCAGGGAGGAGGCCGTGGCCCTCCTCCGCGCTCGAGGCAGCCTCCGCCCCCAGCTCGGGGAGGCATCGAGGGCCTCCTCGGCGGAGGAGGCACCACTGGTGGTGGTCGCGGTGTCACCTCTCTTTCCTACGGTCGAGGGGCGGGGGGGACGGAATACAGTAGGGGCCCGACCACAAGAAACCTTCCGCAAGAAACCCAACCCTGAGACCCCAGGACGTCCATTGATTCTTGGTGTGGGAGCGTCGTGATTCCATAGCAAAACATTCGAAACCCAAGAAACCCAGTGCACCCTGGAGGCAAGCAGGGTGTTTCTTGGCATGGGTCTCGACTGTGCGAGGGCGCCACCTACACACCCTGGCCAGGCCCATCCTGGGCCCTGGAGCAGCGTGAGCGCCTTGTTCGGGGCTCACCTGGGGGCAGGAGGTGGGAGGCTGTTGCTTCGGGGCCGCGCTCGGGCTCGCGAGACGACGCCCCGAGGCGTGGAGGGGGAGAGCGGGAGGCGACGGAGATCACGGATCACGGGGGTCGATACCCGAGGCGCGAGCCGACCAAACTTGGGGGCCGGGGCCGGACAGAACCCGATCATATCGACAAAGACAGGCACGGCAGAAAGGGGGGGGGAGGAGGGGGGGGGAGGCGAAGAGGGACGGAGGGGAGGGTGCGCGGAGGGGGGGGGGGATGGCAGCGATGGCCAGATGAGAAGGAGGGTGGGGGAAGGAAAGGAGGGCGGAGCTGCTAAGGGGGGGGTTGTCGGCGGCAGCGGCGACGTTAGTGGCCAGGTCAGGGCAGCCCCGGGGAGGACGAGGCTCGCAGGTCCGAGGCCGACGCGGGGCGGCACCCTTTCAGAGGGCGTCGCCCCGTCGGGGAAGAGAAGGGGCGGAGGGAAACGGGAGGGCACGAGGCACAACGAGAATTGACGACCTACCGGACCACCCCAACCCAACCCGAAGACCCGAATATGACCCGAATTTCGGGTTGGGGGGGGGTTCGGGTTCCATGTGTTTTTTCAACATTCCCCGACCCCCCCCCCACTGGAAATGGAGGGCAAATTGAGGACTGCGGGTTGGGTTGGGGTGGTTTGGTAAGTGGTGAAGAATGGAAACGTGCGGGAGACGGGCCGACAAGCTGGCAAGCTCCTCCTCGAGCATTCCTCGCTGAAAAATGAGAAGGGAAGACGTGGTACAACGCGATAGCGCACGAAGTGCAGGAGGCGCTGGGGTTACGTCGGGCATCTACAGGCATAGTTTGGAAGAGACAACAAACGCAATAAATGCCCACAATAATCAAAAGAACACGAACCATCGTCAACATATTATGTTCTACCATTCTTGAATATTCTCCTGTAGAAAGACATGCCCGCCTTAACGCTCGGGTCGATGGGCGCAAGCCAACCCAGTCAGTCAGAGTGGGCCAGCAATCTCACGCGACGCACCACCGATTCACTTGTGACGTTTTAAGGAAGTGGTGGGTTAATACACCTGACGGTTCAATTGAAGCCATGACGATCACGAAAAGGTAACAAACCTGGGGACGAATCCGCGAAGACAAATTGAACGCGCTTGTGGAGAGACTGTTCCCGTCCTTCTGCCCCGCGCGAAGACTCTGAAACCAATTAGTGACTGGATAAAACTGGGCCCATCGACTTTTTTCGTATCCAAGAATGCGCGACGAAACTACAACGATAGACGAACCAACATGGCGCCGTGTCGGCGTCTTGCAGTCAACCGGTAAGCGCGACCTGGCGCTATGGTAATCTCTTTCCATCTGCTCCTGGCGGAACGAGACCCGGGCCTCCCAGGCAGTGGGCGGGCCTGGCCAGGGAGTGTGCCCAGTCATGCGGCGGTCAAGCTTCGGACACAAGCCAATGCGTTTTCGCGCCCCTTTAAGAAGCTCAATCGCTGCGCCACCCAAAATGGCCCCAGGAGAGGCTCAACTGTCCCCCCCCCAAAACCATCTTGCCCCCAAGGAGGCTGGAGGCCTCGGGGCACCTCCTGGGGCTTACCTGCGGAGACCTCCCCAGAAAACTCCCGGGTCGCTTGGCGGGGGCGCACGAGGCAGCCAAATCTGCGCACCCTCCCCACGAGACCGCGCCCCGCCCCGCGCGCGGCAGGCTGGGCACCGGCCAGCAAGCTAGGGACCTCTGCATGGGGCGTGGTTCGGCCATAGCTTCAGGCGGGACAGTGCACGCGGCATCCCGATCCCCCAGAGGCGCGCTCTGGCCAGACTCTCGTGCCTGATCTCGCAGCGGCGGCGGATCCTCCTGGAGTCCCAGAGGAGGCGCAGAGCCCCCTCAAACCTGGAACCTCGATGCATGTGGGGAGACCTGTGCGGCTCCCAGGCCAAGCTCAAGATGGGGGGCCAAGCTGATCATACCCCCAAGACGAAGACAGGACGAGGAACAAATCATCTGTTGATATTAAATCATCTCTGAGATCTGGGGGTTCTGGAGGATGTCTGGGGCGCCGCGGCCTTCTCGCTCTGAGAGCGTTCCGGAACGCCCTGGAACGGAGTGATCCTCGTCCTAACCAGGTCCTAACCGTACAATGTTAGCTCGCCATGCAATTATATGTTATTACTAAAACTATTATTATGTATATATATGTATATATATGTATATATATATGTATATATACATATGTCTGTATATATGTAAACATTATCATACGCACCTCTCCGAGGGAATAGAGCTCAGAGTCGATTGATTGAAGGCGGCGTCCGCGATTTGTCTGGCCGTTTCGCTAGGGACATCCTCGAAATTTTGAAAATCGGTGGCACCCCTCACGCAAATCGTGACGTCAGGGTCCAACAACACACGGGAATTTCAACATTCTAACATAACACCTTCAAAAACACAAACATCGAGCCCCGACGTACTTCTGGTACCCCAGACCCCGCCTCGGAGCCTCTTGGGGGTCTCCTGGAACCTCCTGGGGCCTCTTGGGGCTTTCTGTACCTTCTGGTACCCCAGACCCCACCTCGTGGGGCCTCCTGCGGCCTCCTGGAACCTCTTGGGGCCTCCTGGAGCCTCCTGGGGTCTTCTGGGGCCTCCTGAGGCCGCCTGGGGCCTTAGAACTACATGCACACACAGAGACACAAATCACACCCAACACATCACACGCTAGACAAACATAACACAAACAACATCTACAACGCACAGAAAACACGCACAACACAAAACACACATCACACACAACACTCACAATCCCGGGGCCTCCTGAAGCCTCTTCTGGTATCCAAGTCGGGCCTCCTGAGGTTTCCTGGGGAGTCCTGGTACACACATCGCAAGGTGTGGCAACCCCACTTGCGCTCGAGTGCGACCTCGATCTTAGATTCTTCTGCGTTCACCTCATGCCTCTCCCCCTTCTCTTAGGCACGCCCTGGCGGTGCCGCCCCAGCTGCCCCTTCTACATATCCTATCATGCAGTCATGGTGTCTTCCTGCTTCAAACGCCCTTCCATGTTTTGTATGACCCGGGGCACACACGTGCCACTTGTAAGATCGGGGTCCTCAGAAATCCTCACCCTTTCCCCAGGGCCGGTTTTTCATCCCGAGCGGTATTTGACGGCCCCGGCGCCCGGCGAGGGCCTCCCGGGGCCGCAAACGGCCAAAAACCCTTTCGTCCTGGTTTGTCACGACGCCAACATGTACTTGGGAACGGCCAAGACGGGGGCGTCCAAGAGGGGGGGTGCACATCATGGCTGGCGGCACGTGCGCGGCCCAGGGGGGGGGCAGGGACGTAACGAAATAAGAAGAGGCGCCATGAAATCTGGGAAAATACCATGGCCCCCGCCATGATATCCATCCCCCCCTAGTCATCACCCCCCTCTTTTCCGCCCCCGATGTATGAGATACGCGGCCCCCAGACAGAAATTCCGACCCGTGCCCCCGGGCCCCGGGGCGGCCAGCCTGTCCTTCCGAGTCGCCTTCTGACAGCCCCGAGGCCTGGCGAGGGCCCCCCTCGGGGCTGACACGCTCGCTCGCTCGCTCGGCCGTGCGTCCGGTGGGACGCGTTGGCAAACTCTGGTTGCGACGTTGGCAACCGAACGGCAAAGATGAACTGAAAGTGTGCAATGAGTGCTGCAAAACTAAGAAGGGGGAGGGGCGGGAGGAAGGCGAGATTGCCTCAGAACGTACACTGAAGAAGCCCACTGCTGTCGAGGCCGGCATCGTCGTCGACGTAGCGCCCAACACTTTGGTGACCCATCTGGCTCGCATACAACTTGTCGCACCAAGGAGGGATGCCCACTTCTGGAAATCTTGAGGTGCGCCTTCTCCTGCCTGTCCAGAAGAACATCCGACAGAGGTTGCGCGCCAGCTCTCTTCAAAATGTCTGCGATGATAACTTTCGAGATGAACGAAGGAGGTGCGCCGACAATGCGTCGTAGACACCTGCAGTGGAAAAGCATCAAGGCGCGCCGTGTCTGCTTTCAGTAACCAAACTGAGTCCAATGAGTAGAGCAGCTTGCTCACCACACAGCTTGTGTAAATACTGTGCTTTCGCCGTTTTCCAATTGAGGCGTGGCTCCAGAGCTTATCCAACTGCTTGAACATCTCTGTACAATCTCCTAGTCTCCGCGTCAGTTCCGTGGCAACTTTCCCGTCGCAGGTAATCAGTCCTCCTAGGTAAACAGCTTCGCGGACGGACTTGATTGCGCCCCCGTCTGGTCGTGATATTACGTTGTGTGTTGATATTTGGATTTGTAAAGTTTTGTCGCAGTTCAGTTCCAAGCCGCATTCCTTACCTTCTGTAATAATGGCCAAGAGCATATCCTCCATATTTTGCTTGCGACGCGAAAGTAGAAGTGCATCGTCGGCGTAAAGGATATCGCGCGTCACAACATATGCCGGATCTTCTTGTAGATCGAGTTGGTCAAAAGCATCATACAGCATCACGCTCTGTACGATAATGAACAAGTGTGGTGATAAC